TTTGGGCACACAAAACACATCTCCGAACTATGGCTTGAGTCAGACTAGATAACCTTGGTATATAGAAATGTTTCCTAAGAGATTCTTCCATACTATCTCTTCCAGTATGTGTACCATTATGAAAGTTTTGAACAATCTCTATAGCCAGAGATGTCGGAATAACTATTCTTCCATCTTCTAACTGATACCAGTTATTCTCCAGATATTTCTCAGCTTCAGTCTTCAACCACTCCATCTCTTGGGTTGTATATATTGGAGTCCATTGAGACAGAGGTGCCGGTACAAGGGCTGCAAAATATCCCACATATTCCTCTTGCCCAGATTCAGCGACATGTTTTGCTGCGTTGTCGGCCATGCGATTTCCTTTGATGACATCACTATCACCCCTCAGATGTGCTCTACAGTGTATAATATGACTTCCTTCGGTTCCCATACTGCCTCTAACAGTTGGAGTATTTCAGCCGCATACTTGATCTCTTTTCCTTCTGAATTCAGCAATCCCCTTTCTTTATACAATGCTCCATGTGCATGGGTGGTTAGAAAAGCATACTTCGAATCAGTGTAGATATTCACTCTCAGCCCTTCAGCTAATTGCAAAGCCCTGGTTAATGCAATCAGTTCCGCCTTCAGTGCTGATGTCCCTTTTGACAGTGGCCGTGCTTCTATCACCTTATCTATAGTCGTTACCGCATATCCTGCATAACGTACACCTTCCTTCACATAACTACTACCATCAGTATAATACTGTATGTCTAGATTTTGGATGGGAAAATCATGAAGATCAGGCCTGCTTGAAAGCACTTCATCCATTATCTCCAAACAATCATGCTGACTTTCAGTAGTCTGAGGCAAAAGGGTAGCTGGATTCAAATTGTTGACAGTTTCGAGGTGTACTCTTGGATTTTCACTCTTGGTCATTCGACTGTTGCTAAACCAATGATTTCCCCTGTAATCCAAGAGGGTCTGTACTGCATGAGGTACTCGCACGTGGAGTTCCTGTCCCAGTGTAAGCTTGTCAGCTTATGCTACCAACAGGACAGCGGCGGCCACTGCTCGCAGACAAGGTGGAAGACCACTGGCCACTGCATCCAACTGTTTGGACATGTAAGCTACAGGTCTTTGCCATGATCCCAAATATTGAGTTAATACTCCCACAGCCATTCTTCTTTGCTCATGTACGTACAGATAGAAAGGACGTGTATGATCAGGTAGACCTAGGGCTGGGGCACTAATTAGTGCTTTCTTGATATCCTCAAATGCCTTCTGCTGTTCAGTAGTCCATAGGAAGGGGTCATGTTCTGTGCCTTTTATAGCTCCATATAAGGGTTTCGCCAATATCGCGTAATTAGGAATCCATATCCTGCAGAATCCTGCTGCTCTTAGGAATTCTCGCACCTGTCTTCTATTCTTAGGTATCGGTATCTGACACAGTGCTTCTTTTCTTTCAGGTCCCATCATTCTTTGACCTTCGGATACATGGAATCCTAAATATTTAACACTTGGCTGGCACAATTGTGCTTTCTTCCTCGATACCTTGTATCCTGCTCTCCATAGAATATGAAGCAAATCATAAGTGGCTTGTTGGCATATCTCTTTAGTAACAGCTGCTATCAATAGATCATCCACATATTGAAGTAGTACACATTCTCCTGGGATGGACTTGAAATCTTGCAAATCCTGGCTTAATGCGGATCCAAATAGGGTAGGTGAATTCTTGAACCCTTGAGGTAGTCTTGTCCAGGTCATCTGACGCTTTGAACCTATAACAGCATCTTCCCATTGGAAAGCAAAGATATGTTGACTCTCAACAGCAATTCGAAGACAAAAGAAAGCATCCTTAAGATCTAACACTGTGAAGTAGGTTGCCCCACCTGGTATCAAGGCAAGCAGATTGTAAGGATTGGGTACAACTGGGTGTATATTAACTACCGCACCGATATTCGTCCGATCCTGGTTTTTGAACAGGTAATAATGGAGTGTTCCAGGAAGAAGTACAGAATTTTAGGATGCCATACCTTACGAACTTATCCAAGTAGGTTTGTATGTTTTCCTTAGCCTTTTGTGGTATGTGATATTGACGTAGGCTCACAGGATAGGCCCCAAGTTTAGTTCAATATGTATGGGTGGGATATTACAAGCAAGTCCTGGTGGATTATTCTCTGCCCATACTCCTGGAATGTCAAATAAGATTTCATCACTCTTAAGGTTAACACTTGTCACTATGGAATAGAAGCGCCATTCTTCTTCCCTTGGCACCGATATCACCATTATGCCCGATGATCCCTTAAACTTCAGAGATGTTGATCCATTAGGTAAAAAGGTTATCTGGGCTTGAAGCTTTGATAATAAATCTCGTCCTAGAAGTTAGATTGGACACTCAGGCATATATAGAAATTGGTGCTTCACCAAATGGCCTCCCAGAATGCAAGTGCGACTCTTAAGAACCGGTCTAGCAATGCTCTTCCCAGTAGCTCTTATCACAGTTATAGTCTTCCCCGAAGGAGGAGCCACCATCTTAGTCACCACAGAATGTTCAGCACCTGTGTCGATCATGAAAGGACTTCTCTTTCCCCCTATTGCTACATCGACCATAGACTCCGCTTGACCAAGGGGGATGGAGCCCGGTCGGTATCAATAGTCTTCCATGATAGTGTCAGCCAGACCCACAAAATCTCTATCCTCTCTTTCTCTAGGTCTCTGCATGGGTGTATAGTATCTGTCTCCTTGAACACTTCCTCTACTATTCCCACCATTCCCTCTAAAACTTCCTCTTCCTCTATAACTACCACTATAATCTCCTAGTACCCTTCTCTCTCCTTGTTTTTCACCTTCATACCGCTCTCTCTGTGGACACTCACTCTTCCAATGTCCCTCCTTTCTACAATACGTACATTGATTCCTACTTAAAGGTCCCTTACTCAGCCTATTCTCGACTCCTTTATTCACTTCCCTTCCCTGTCTTTGTACACTTGTGATAGCTACCGCTAGCATCGCTGCCTTCTTCCTCATTTTACGTTCCTCCTCACGCGTTGTCTCAGTTTCCCTATTCATATACACCTTATTTACAACCTCCATTAGCTGTGATATGGATATCCCTGCAAATCCCTCTAATTTCTGTAATTTCCTTTTAATATCACCTTGGGCCTGGCTGACAAATGCTGAGTTAATCATTTGGAAGTTTTCAGGGGCTTCAGGATTGAAAGGAGTGTACAATCTATTTGACTCAAGCAGTCTCTCATAAAAAGCACTGGGTGATTCATTAGCTTTTGGTAACACTTCAGCCGTCCTGGACATGTTAATTGACTTTTTCCCTCCTGCATTCATGCCAGCAGTAATGGCTTGTTGATAGGCCTTTAGATGGATCATGTCAGCGCCATTTACGTTCCAAAGGTCAGTAATAATTGCTGACAATCAGCCCAGGTGGGATAGTGGGTTTGTATAATAGCGGTAACCAAATCTGTCATGACTTGAGGCTTATCGGTGTATGAAGAATTATGTGTCTTCCAATTAAATAAGTCAGTCGTAGTGAAAGGAACATAAACAAATACAGGGTCTGCATGTTGCAATTGACCATTATTGTCAACTTGTGTTGGGCCCGGTGTAAGTCGGAGAGGCATTTGGTAATGTCGGGGTTTGAGGGTACCAGTCATCTGTCGGGTTAATACAAGGCTTCGGCAAGGCTGCTCAGTAATAGGTTCCAGTCTGAGAGTAGTAAGATAGGTGGAAGGGGGTGAGCTAATTTTACTAGTCAGCATTTGGTGGATGAAATTTTTTTTTAAAAAGTGTTAAACCAAAAACCTACCAGTAGGTGTCACCAGAGGGTAATTGTATCAAAATAATCTTTATGGGTCTAATAATAAAACTTAACTTTTAATATATTTATACATAAAATAAAACCTTATAGCAATAAATATATTAAAATAGGATAAACAATCCTACTTCTGTCTGTTATATGCCAGTATAGCGTTAAAGATGATTATGCAAAGTAATATCAATGTAACTCCCAAAGATGGCCAGTAGGTGGCCCTAAAGTGCCTCCCTAAAATCTAATGAAGCAGATAAACTTTAATTATGTGCTTATTTTATTATTACTTATTTTAATCACTGCTCACCCTGATATCTAGGCTTGAGTAAAGCTTTAGTTCTATGGTAAATTAAACATCTCAGTTTGTATTTTAGTAAAGGGGATATTTTAAACAAAGCTGGGAGGGGCCCATCCAGTAACTAAAAAAAGGATAAAAGTGTACTCTAGCATCTTATACCATTAATCATTTCTTCCAGTTGTATGTTAGACTATCACTGAAGACACACAGCATTCAATAGTTTTAGTACTATTTCAATGATTATGGTACAATGTCATTGCTGAGAATTATCTGATCCAATAGACTCAGTTACTGTTATTAAGAATTCTCCTCACAATTTAACTGTTAATAAAATTCAATGCTAAAATACACTCCTACCAAAAAGGAAGTCAATTCAAATTACAAAGAACCAGTTTGTACAGAAATACAAGAGTTTGATAGAAAAGAACAGATAGGTATGTGGGTAGGCGTGGACAATAGAGCAGGGGGAGTGCAAATACCAGCTATACCAGTTTTTAGCTTGGGAGGAAGAGTGGGGGAAGGGCTTCTCTGGCTCTGGAGGATGAATAGGGGGTTGGCAATCAGATGCAAGGGGGGAGGTGTCCAAAGCAGTTGTAATTAAGGTCTTAGTGGACAAACAGGTTCTGGCTACCATGGACTCCATTGTTCCTCTTAGCACAGCTTGTTCCATTTAGCAGTGTTTCAACAATCTGTATACAGAAACTACTCGTATAGCCCCAGCATATTATTTATAACACTGTAAACCTGCTGTATTAAATCTGGATCAAGGATCCACAGGAACACTGGTTACCAGAACAGGCCGTCCTCTGCTAAACAGAGTATTTTAATCTTTTGGGGGACAGTGTTACAATATATTCCTTAGAAAAGTTTTTTGTTTTTTTTTTGACACATACAAGACAAAGGACTGTTTGTAAATCAGAAGCACCCATGATTTCAACAGAGCGTCTGATTCAAAGCAGTACAAATATACAAACAGTTTCAACAGTCACACCAGTTACCTTAGCAACAGCACCATGTGGCACAGTTACTAGGCCAAACACACAACAAAAACACAAGGAGAATTCTCATACACACACAGCGCTAACACGTTGTCTTCACACATGAAAATTCACCAAACACTAGATTCTCATCTCTGTAACTATAAATCAAACCCTGCAACCATCCATGCAGTAAATCAGCTCTCAATTACCAGACTATAACATACTCCAGTAACATCGTCTTTACAATCAGTAGTTATAGTACGGTTAGCAAGTGGTTATGGTACAGTTTTAGAATCACAGGTCGTTTAGTAACAGTTATGGTGTTACACATATAACATCAAACAACAGATTGTTAGTCGTTATATACAATACACAATGTCTGTAATTATAATACATGTTAGTGGTTATGGTACCGTGTACTATTATACAGTTATACACCCAATTTACACTCCCGCTAGACGGCAGAGCTCAAGCTTTCTAGCAGGACATACAATTTAACCAATTCACCAACTACAATATATTTAACAACATTTACAATAATCCCAACTATTCTAACTGGCCAGCACCTCGAGTGCTTTTGATCTATTTGTACACCAGAGATTCAATAAGTTCTTCGCTGCCCAGACACCACGTATAGCGAACTAGAGGGCAGAATTTACACCAATACCCTTTTAGTCTATTACACTATCAATAATCTAGTGGCTGTATTTACAACAGAGCACACTTAGTTAAGATAGGGTGAAATCTAGCAAACTATAATATACAACAGATGCTGCTTAGTTTCGCCGATCTCCCCGACCTAGCAATCAAAATTTACACCTAGCATGCTAGTCAAGGCAGGACATCGGTGTCCGACATGAGCTATTTACACCAGAACTCAGTCTGACAATACCACCTATATTAGACGGGCTGGCTACAGAGCGTCTAATGTCCAGATAAGTGTTGCACCTTCACTTCTTCCTTCCAGAGGGAAGGGGCCAATTCCAATAACCAGTTCCAAATATAAAACCCCTTGTGGGTCTACCGCTCTAACGGTATCAGTCTTACCGGTTAGTTCCTGGACCTGGGTTCACACTCATCCACGGAACACCCCGGTACTCACTGCGCAGAAGCCGATGATCTCCTGGACAAAAGGCCAGTGGTGCCGAGACGAAAGGAGGTCCATGCAGAAGTCCAGGGGTGCTGACGTGGAGAACGTTGGTAAAGATCTACCATCTCACGTCTCTGTCTCAGCTACCGTGACGATGAGCTTCCTGCTGCCAATGCACCAGAGATGTAACCGTGTAAGCGTGCAGAAGCCGAACACAGAGAGATGGACACAGGTATTCAGGAAGTAAGAGGCCTTTATTCACATTACCGATCGGGTCTCAGATGAACTCCTGTTCCAAAATTCCTTAGAGTACATTCCTTATATAGCACTGTAGCTCCTCCCATAATTAGCTATGCCCACACATACCCTTAACCTAATCAATGAACAGAGTCTAAACTCATGCATCCGGTCTAACCATGTGGCTCATCTGAAACAAAGGAGAGGGACACGTAATTCCAGTTCCTGCATTCCTGCACACGCTCAGTACATTGATGACAGTATCTTAGCTACGTGTAACTAACTAACTGATATTACACATGCACCTACATATGCCTTGTGGCAATCTTGGCCTGCTAAACTTTTATTTTACTGGAATTCCATCACAGACTAACTCCAACAGAAAATAGCCCTTTAGTGATTTATGTGGATGCAACTTACATGAAGACATGGTTAAGAGGTTAAGCTGCAACCATTAGAAAGGGGAGAAGCAAAACCAAAGCAATCATGGTATGATTCTTTGTGCCAGAAGGATAAATCAACATCTCAGAATCAAATGAAGTGTAATTTTCAAGGACTTCAATAGCCGTGAAGTGTGAATAGTATATATCAGGGGTGGGGAACCTTTGGCCCTCCAGATGTTTATGGACTACATCTCCTTTAATGCTCTTACAGCCATAATTCTAGCAAAGCATCAAGGGAGATGTAGTCCACAACATCTGGAAGGTTGAAGGTTCCCAACCCCTGGTATAGATAGTCTTATAAGAAGAGCTTGTTAATGAGAAATGTAAGTGTTGGCTTGAAAAAGTCTTGTTATTTTCCAAAGACCACAACAACGGCAGGTGATACCTTAATCTCTTAAGGACTGTTGTGTCTGTGACTTAAATATGAATATTAATCTTTTAATATATAATAATTAAGCAATAAGTAACAACATTATTATTTTTTATAGTTCGTGGTATTATGGTCGAATATGTGGACAGAAAATACACAAAACATTGCATTATTAAATGTATATTTAATATAACTATAATGAGTAAACAGATGCTAGCAGAATGTCAATTTACTATAATAATATTACAATATAAAACTGCAAAATATTACTTACAAAATGCTAAACAGTTGATAAATGTTACAATGGATTCATGTTCCTTACAAGGCCCCAGTCCTTTGGCTGGAGTTAAGTCAGAGCTGGTACTACATCTTAGGTTCAGTCAGGTAAAGGCATAGAGGCAGATTTCCTCCTACTGGTTTTTATTTAGTGTATTCTTAAGTATTCTGGCCTGTGATGTCACTGCCAGAAGCACATGTCTTCCTACACACTTCCCCTAGTGGTGTCTCCAAAGCATTAAACTCACTATGCTTTCTTTATGATGTAAAGTCATTAATTAATAAATTATAAACCACCCTTTGACTTATGTCATAAAACAAGCATTTATAAAACCAGTACATATTGAATCTTCCCCATTTTAACACTACCTGCCCTACAACAAAACCCACCCTTTGAAGAATGATACCCATTTACCCCTAACGTTCTGACACTTTATTGTTTATTCAAATGTTCACCATTGAGCACATGCATTACCAGTTGGGAAACCAATGATATTGTGTTCATATGAGGATGTGTTTTGGAACTTAATATAGCATTAGACATGACAAACTTATAACACCTGTGAATCATGACACAGACAGACAATCACTGGAGCTCGTTTTCTGTAGCCTATGGCTGGTCTGTGTGCCTGGCATTTTCACAAACATTAGTCCTGGAAATTGGATACTCTCTTCTTGGACAGACTCATAGAACTTATGCATGGAGACAGGGATGAATGAAATAATTTGAGCAAACAGTAGGATTTTGTAAAACAACAGTTCATGTGTGCAGGGACTTTTGTGTGTTTTGTGGTCACTTGTCACAGTATCCTGCTCTGGATGTATTATTTAACGTACTCCCATCACTCTCCGCTTCAATATTTCTTCTCATTAGAACAGTGCATGTGTGTTAAGACCTGCAGTGGTTATGGTACTGCAGTCTTCTATTCCTTTCCCAATAGCTGAGCATAAGTGATTATAACTGCAGTTAGGAGGTAGAGGAATAGTGTAGATGATAGAAAAAAAGAAGAGAATAGGCGCTCGCTATAGTGATCAGGCAGCAGTATATACACAAGGATTCCCAAACCTTGTAAGTGAATAGTGGAAAAAAGAAAAACGTATACCGCGCTTAATTTATATATATGAAATATACATACATATATCTTTAATATTCCAAATGGATCGTAACCTCAAAAAGAAAAGATTAAGAAACAAATAATAGTGCAATACAGTAAATATATTCTTTAGAGCAGATGGTATAAGGCTAAGTTCCCCGGGGGTTGTACCGTCCAGGCGTTCTTACAGCAGAGCTCTGTTATAGCTCATCCATATGTGAGTGGATTGAACTTAGCCTTATACCATCTGCTCTAAAGAATATATTTACTGTATTGCACTATTATTTGTTTCTTAATCTTTTCTTTTTGAGGTTACGATCAATTTGGAATAGTGTAGATGAATGCAGCTTCCAAGATGATTCTCCCCCATCAAGTAGAATATTCCCCAAACATGAGCCTAGACTTCATGAAGGGTGTAACAGGAATAACTTTTATTGATGCCACACTGGCTTTTATGAGAAATCCCCCTGCAAGAGGACCTCTCACAGTAAACAAAGACAATAACCAATCAACATACAGATTTACAGTAACCCCTGCCCTCTCTCTGCCTGGGAGATATTGAGATAAGTTAAGGAATAACCCAATTATCTCTAGGCAGAGGGCACACAATTTTCCCAAAAATTAGAACACCCCTTTCCACACAAGGTATCCCCACAAATTACATATCACCTGATATCCCCGATCTGGGAGACCAACATATTCAAATTTCACCCAGATCGGGTCAGCGGTTCTCAAAAAGTATGGAAGTCATAAGTTACCGACCACACACAAGGCTTCTGCCCAAAACAGTTCCACGAATTCAGCGGGTGCGGTCGGTCAATTCAGTAAATGACATAAAACGAATAAAAGTCACGAATGGATCCTCCTGGCTCATAGGAGTGATTGCTCCCCTTGTTCATATGAACCAAACAACCGAAAGGCTCCTGGCTGTTCGTCAACTAAAGGAAGCAGACGTTCGGTAGTTTCAGAGGTCGAGTGTCCGATTTTAGTTTCAGACACTCAGCGACCAAGTCCCGCTGCCTCCTTTCGTTCAAACAAGATGGCCGCCGTTTTCTGTTCCACGTGGCATTCGGCTATAAGAACAGCGGCCGCCCAGAGAGCATTTAATAGACGGTTGTTTTGAAGTTAATGATCCAGGAGGGTGGTCGGTGTTCGGTAGTTTTAAACTACCGAACTAATAGATCCAAAATGAACAAAATACTGCAGAAAAGCCCGAACATAGAAGAAAATACCGAACTCAGTCTATTTTCTTCACAATGTGTTCAGGGACTTTTGTGTGTTTTGTGGTCACATTCCGTTTACCACCTTGACGTAACACAGTTTACTGCTCCTGATGCATTTTGTCCCTACTCTCATCACTCTCAGCTGCAATATTTTCTTCAACAGTTGAGTATTGTGTCCAGAGCTGCTTCTTCTTCTGGTTGCAATAGTTGCAATAAAAATCTCCTTTCTGGAAAGTTCTTGAATGAAAACCCAGGCAATGATGAACACAAACATAAATGGCAGATGACTTTACTATTTGATTGTGGTGTCTTAACTATATTTACTCTATGGTGTTAAGAACGTACCCACACACCTCCTAAGAATTCTCTCTTCACATCCAGCGCACTCCTGATTCACAGATAAATACAAAATCACTGTGGTATTTAACCAATTTAACCTAAACACCCACCAAAACAAAATAAATTCCAATTTACCACCCTTCTATTTAAACATGTATAGATAACCCTAAATGCCTACTTTCTCTTATCACTCTTCCGGTTTTTTTTTGTTTACATTGCAACCACTCATGCACTTTACAGAGACACAAATCAAGCACCTACTGGACAATGGGGTTTCCTCGTTGGAGCCCTTCCACCCCAGTTCTGTTTACACAAATAGCCCCTGGTTCTTATGGGTCAATTCCCCCTATCCCAGGCAAGCATACATACATACATACATACATACATAGAACAATAATACATAAGGTTTTCAATTGCAATACAATCATTAAAAATAAGAGAATAGTATGCACAAAATCATAGCATAGACATGCTATGCACATCATACGTGCCGTGGTGATAGTCGGCTTTGTGTATATGGTCTCTAAGCAACCATAGACGCCTAGGATTGGTGTCTGTGAGAAAAGAATATAGATACCGACATGCAAAGAGGGTGATAAGATGAAACACAAAGAGATTCTTAAGAACATATTTGTGATTTAAGTGAACGGATAGATGTGGATATTCAGGTTAAATACCAGTGTAGTACCAGTTGAAGTATGATATATAGGAGTCATGTTACACGACATTAAAGTGATAGTCTACTCAAAAATAGCAGGATGGAATATGAGTGCTATATTTAAAGTGATAAAGTGCAATTGGATAAAGTGCAGTGCCATGCAATAATGCAAGCCCATATTAACAAAACATAATTAACATTAAAATATCTAAATGATGAATCATAACTCTAGAACATATATGTTACTGTAAAGTACATTTAACCTACTATAAAGTATTCACATATACCATATTTAATAAAACAAAAAAGTACAAGCTGCCTGGGTTAAATAAATGAATAATAGGGAATGGTCTCATTAAGCCCTTTGGGTGCTATTAATAAATATATCCCAAAAATATATCACATACACACATATAAATACATTCCTACAACTTTTCATTTTATAAGCAATTTGTTCAACAAGGTAACATTCTTAATTTTCTACTAGGCTCTTAAAATAAACAATCAGCTATTAGCTGCTTTCTGCATCTTGTTTGCAATTCAGCCTCTGATGAAAGACTATAGGTCAATATGTCTCATAGTTCAACACTTCTGACAACTATGAGTGCCTCCCTATTAATTTTTAGCCTTTCCACGGACATGTCTGCACCTCGCGGCTAAGGGCCTGCACAACTATCCACCCTGTGGTGGCAGTGGCTTTCCACATGGGGGTGACCGCCCCCTCAAAATTATAGAGGAGCAAACATACAGCAACCTCTTTCCGGCTCGATTAAAGGTTATGGGCCAATATGTCTGCAATTGAACCAGTACACTTACATATCACTTATTGTATATTTCCTGGTCTCTCAGGAATTTCTATTATATAGCTTATCCCCTTCCCAGGGCAATATACAACTAAAACTAGTCACCAAGAGTCTCTATGGTCATGATAGGCCATCCTACCACTAGTGTAATACGCCCTTATTTTATATATTTCCTGGTCTCTCAGAGATTTAGCATATCCCTTTCCCAGAGCAATATATGAACTATTACTAATAAGTTACAAACAGGGGCGGACTGAGAACCCTCAGGGCCCCCGGAAAAAATAAATCAAGGGCCCCCTTACAGGCCCCACCCATACTCTGCAGCAAGCGCCACCCTTGTCCCGCCTCCATGCACCGCCTCCAGCCACACCCTACACAATCTTTAGACACAAGGAACAAAAGGGCAATAAGCCCTTTGAGGCCCCAGTAGAGACTACAATTGAGGGCTAATGGGCCATGGAGGGGGGTCTTTCTAGCGGAGGCTATCTCAGTGTCCTTTAGAGAGTGTGTTAGATAGAATCCCCTCCAAGCCCCATTAGAGACTACAATGGAGTCTAAAAGGCTTGGAAGGGGGTCTTTCTAACAGAGGCCATCTCAGCGTCCATTAGATATCCCCTGCTGGAAACAGTCGCCTCCAGGCCCCAGTAGAAACTACAATTGAGGGCTAATGGGCCATGGAGGGGATTTCTAGCAGAGGCTAGAGTCTAATGGGGCCTGGAGGGTGGTCTCTCCAACACTCTGGTTCCTATTCACAATATAGCAACACAACATAGCTCGCTGATACCTAAGCCAAGTTGGCTCCTCTTACCTTAATTACTGTTGCTGGCTGGCAGTCTGTGGGCTTGCTGGCTGCGGCTGGCAGGCTGTGGGCTTGCTGGCTGCGGCTGGCAGGCTGTGGGCTTGCTGACTGCGGCTGGCAGGCTGTGGGCTTGCTGACTGCGGCTGGCAGGCTGCGGCTGGCAGGCTGTGGCTTGCTGGCTGTAAGCCTGTGGCTTGCTGTAGGCCTGTGGGCTGGCTACTGGCCTGTGGGCTGGCTAACTGGCTGGCTACTGGCCAGCCTGTGGGTTGGCTGGCTGGCTACTGGGGCACTTGTAGATTATTTAAAGAAATAATCCATGCACAATAACCACTACTGCTCCAGAGTAAGTAGTCAAACCGTTTAAGAACAGTTTGACAACTTACCTGGGGTCTGCTGGGATATGAGGCTGTAGTAGGGAATAGGAGCAGTGGTGCAATGTGTGTGAAAGGTTCAGTGTGTGTGTGGGGGTGTAGTGTGTGAATGTGTAGGGTGTGTGGGCGGTGTATGTGTGTGGCAATGTTAGTATGGGGGGCTGTGTATGGGGGTCTGTGTGTATATGGGTGGGCAGTGTATGTGTGTGTGTGAGGCAATGTGTGTAAATGTGTATGGTGTGTATGGGGGCAGTGTGTGAATGTGTATGGTGTGTATGGGGGCAGTGTGTGAATGTGTATGGTGTGTGTGTGGGGGCAGTGTGTTTATGGGGCTAGAGTTCACTCTCACCACTGCGACCACCAGGAATCCATGGGGGTTACAGTGTTGAGAGTGAACTCTAGCCCGTAGCTCCAGGGCTAGAGTTGACTCTCGCAAGAGCAGTAACGTTGCCATGGTAACCGCGGCAACGCTCTGTGCTCGCGCAAGAAGGACCCAGAGGAGCTGCAGGGTGAGCTCCCAGGTCCTCTCTTCCTCCCCTGCCCGCACGGTGCCTGCGGACAGGGGAGGGGGGGCATTCTTCCCTCTCTTTCTCCCCTCCCCCAACTCTCTATTCCTCCTCTTTCTCCCCGTGTCTCATTCTTCCCTCTCTGTCTCTTTCTCCCCCTCCCTCTATTCCCCCTCTTTCTCCCCGTGTCTCATTCTTCCCTCTCTGTCTCCCCCCTCCCCATCTCTCTATTCCCCCTGTCTCATTCTTCCCTCTCTGTCTCTTTCTCCCCCTCCCCATCTCTCTATTCCCCCTCTTTCTCCCTGTGTCTCATTCTTCCCTCTCTGTCTCTGTCTCCCCCTGTGTCTCATTCTTCCCTCTCTGTCTCTGTCTCCCCCTGTGTCTCATTCTTCCCTCTCTTTCTCCCCATCTCTTTATTGCCCCCCCTTTCTCCCCTCCCCATCTCTCTGTTCCCCCCTCTTTCTCCCCCTTTCCCATCTCTATGTCCCCCCTCTTTCTCCCCCCTCCCCATCTCTCCCCTCTCTTTCTCCCCCCTCCCCATCTCTCCCCCCTCTTACTAGTCAGAGGGGGCTGGCCGTTTCATTTTAGAGCCGCCGGACCGGGTGGCAGCCTCGCCGGTCCGGCGGCATTCCGCTCACTAACACTGAAGAAGAAGGAGGAGGAGGAGCATGTGTCTGTCATGCTCCTTTGCGGTTCCCACATCCTGTGCTGGGAATTGTGGGAACCGCAGGGAGCATGACAGACACATGCTCCTCCTCCTCCTCCTTCTTCTTCAGCGTTAGTAGGAGGAATGCCGCCGGACCGGCGAGGCTGCTACCTGGTCCGGCGGCTGCAGCATGAAACGGCCGCCCCCCCCTCACAGTGTGCCACCGGACCGGCCACCCGGTGGCACCTGCAGTCCCCAAATGCCGCCCACAATCCAGCCCTGCCGCCGGGCCCCCTGAAGGCGGTCCTGGCGGCGGGCCCCCCTTCCGGCCGGGCCCTCGGACCGTGTCCGAAGTGCCCGACCGGTCAGTCCGCCCCTGGTTACAAAACGCTACTTATAAGTAATAAAGGATTTCAATTACAGGGTATGCTCCCCCTTCTCCAGACACGTAATTATAGAGGATGGAAATATTAAAATCAGTTATATAGATGGCTTCTAAAAGAATATAAATCTTAATCTGAGCCCATACACTTACTTTGTTAAAAATGCTAACTTGTTAAAATATTCTAACCAGACCGAATAGGAAAAAAAGGAATTATTTTACCATTTTTTTTCTGTTCATTTGTTACCAGTTCCTGAACAGTATAGTGTCCAGAGCTGCTTCTTCTTCTGAACAGGAACTGGTAACAAATGAACAGAAAAAAATTGTAAAATAATTCCTTTTTTTCCTATTCGGTCTGGTTAGAATATTTTAACAAGTTAGCATTTTTAACAGAGTAAGTGTATGGGCTCAGATTTAGATTTATACACACACACTGCTCAAAAAAATAAAGGGAACACAAAAATAACACATCCTAGATCTGAATGAATTAAATATTCTTCTAAAATACTTTGTTCTTTACATAGTTGAATGTGCGGACAACAAAATCACACAAAAATAAAAAAAATGATTAATGTCCTTAAAACAAGTCAAAATGAGGCTCAGTAGTGTGTGTGGCCTCCACGTGCCTGTATGACCTCCCTACAACGCCTGTGCATTTTCCTGATGATGTGGTGGATGGACTAAAGCATCTACCAACTCCTGGACAGTCTGTGGTGCAACGTGATGGTGGATGGAGCGAGACATGATGTCCCAGATGTGCTCAATTGGATTCAGGTCTGAGGAACGGTCGGGCCAGTCCATAACATCAATGCCTTTGTCTTGCAGGAACTGCTGACACACTCCAGCCACATGAGGCATTGTCTTGCATTAGGAGGAACCCAGGGCCAACCGCACCAGCATATGGTCTCACAAGGGGTCTGAGGATCTCATCTCGGTACCTAATGGCAGTCAGGCTACGAAATGCCACCCC